CAGTAAACACTCCTGAGTTTCTATACTTTGAAAGTACACTTTTCCGCTGCAATATTTTTGTTCTACATTGGTGATGTTAGTTAATGTGGGATATGGAGACATTTTCAGTTCATCTCGGATTATACATGTACACATATTTTTGTATTTCACATTCATTCAGTATGGATTCAGAAGTGCATATTTGCCTTGTCGTATGCTTGAAGATTTAATTTTAAAATGCTCCTGGGAATTAAAAGGCAGCTATATGTTAGTTTGAAAAAACTATTAAGCACAGTAAAGTTTATTAAGTAGGTGTTTGACTTTTATGATTTACTCTTAAGTGTGGTATTTACTTCATGCTGCTGCTGCTGCTGCTAAGTCACTTCATACCCAGAGTTAAAACCAGAAGGGTGAATTGATTCAGGGAAGAGCTAGATCCTGCATCTGGTGTTATTTTTACAACAGGCTGAAATGCCTTTTTGCATTTTATTTAATAGCTGAATTGCTGTTTTCTCTCATTTATTCTTTATTCCTTTGAGAGGAAGGAATAACACTGCTTAGAATTCTCAGCCCTGAGCATTTTTATTCTGTCAAGTGTATATCAGCAGATGGTTAAAAAAAGAATGGAAACTTAGAACTTGAATGTCTTAGTTCACATCTTGGATTCATTCAGGTAACCTACCTGCATGGGCTGGAGGGCACTGTAACTAATGATAGTGTTGATATGAGAAGAATTATCAAAGTAAAGAGCACATAGATTCAGTCTAGAAAGGCCTATTAGGCTGGATTTTCAAAAACTAGAGTTCTCTTCCCTCTTGGACAGAGCTGTATTAGTCCGTGCATTCATTCATCATTCACTTGTACAATGATTCAACACTTGCTTATTGAGTGCTGTATGCCAGGCCTTGTTCTGGATACTAGGTGTATAGCAGAGCGCCCCCATGGAGTTTGCATTCTTGAGGGCAAAGAGGCAAGAAAGCATTGTATACATATTGTCATGTATGTAGGTATGTAGGTGCCCTGGAGGATAAATGAAAACAGTGGGGGGATGGGAGTGTAGGTTTGGTGGTGGACTCTGCTGTTGCTTTTTATAAGGAAAGGTCAAGGAAAACCTCTTAGTCAATGACATTTGTACAGAGAGCTGAAGGGATGGAACAGTGTAGATGTCCACTGGAAGGAAAAGTAAGCTGAGTGGAGGGGGAACATGCCTGGTGGGCCAAAGGACAGTAAGGAGGCCTCTGCAGTTGGAGGGAAGGCAGTGAGTGGGGAGAGCAGTTGGAGGTGGGTAGACAGAGGGATGGCAGGGACCCAGACAGAGCACTTATAGGTCATTGTAATGACTTCAGCTTTTTCCCTGAGTGGGAATCCACCAAAGGGTTTTGCACAGGGAAGTGACTATTCAAGTTTTCTTTCTAAGGATGACGTTGTAGGTTGGGTGGAGAAGTGATAAGGGTAGAAACAGGGAAATGGGTGAAGATCTCTAATAGGTGTGTTCAGGTAAGAACCAAATAGCACAGATGTTTGATTTTGTGGTTATCACTATCTGATCTTTATTAGTGAAGATAATTATTGTTTATCCAGACATGCATGAACAATGTTGGCATGTTTGAGTCATGCTAGAATTAATTTAGTAATATGCAAATTAGCAATATGCTATGGATTATGGTTAATACTTTTTTCCTACTCATCTAATACTGATTTTCTTCTGGAAGCTCTTCCTCTCTCACCTGTTCTTATTCAATACTGTTGTACCATTTGTTCAGTTGTACATGCTCGAACTTCAGTTGTTTGTGACTCCTCTCTCTTCATCCTCTGTACATCCAGACAGTCAGGATCTAGGTTGTTACCTTCCAGTCTCCACATCCATCTCCTTTTCCTGCCATTCCCAACTTTAGTTTAGATTCTTGTTTCATCAAATGGCAACCCACTCCAGTATTCTTGCCTGGAAAATCCCATGGATGGAGGAACCTGGGGGGCTACAGTCCATGGGGTTGCAGAGTCGGACACAACTGAGCAACTTCACTTCACTTCATCTCAGAGTTACCTATCAAATTCTCCATCTTTAATTCATTGAGAAAGCGTCAAAAAGAATATGGGTTTTGAAGTGGCATCTTGATACAGATTCATTCAGATCTTTGTTCTTCCATGTAGCTATAGGGCCTTTTACAATTTTTGAACCTTAATTGTCCCTTTTACAAGATGAGCATAATAGTATCTGCTTTATAGAATTACAAGGGAAATTAAATGATAAATGTTTAAAGTAACTGGTAGCCCTGGGCACCTAGAAAATGTTGGTTCTTTCCACCTTCCATTCTTCCACTTCTCTCTATCTATAATCCATCCACCTGGCAGGCCCTAAGTGAAGTTCTCATTGTGTTGTTCCTCGTGTTAAAAACCTTCAACAGTTCCCTATTGCCCCACACGTTAAATACAAGCACTTTTTCCTGGCATTCAGAGCTCCAATACTGATTCCAACTTTAATTTCCATCTTTTCCCTATTACCTATTCTTCTCCATGTACTTCATGTATTAGCCAAGTTCACTATTTTATACCCAAGCTGCCAAATCTATATAAAATATTGTCTATTAAAATCCTACCTGTCCTTCAAATTCTTTCTCAAATACCATTGCACTTGCAAAGGTGTAGACAATCTGGAAATGGTTTCTCCCTGTCTGAAATGTTACTGCACATGGAAGAGGCATCATTGTGCCTGTGCTCTGGAGCCAGAAGGACGAGGTCCCACTGCTTCCTGTCATCCTGGGCACATTGCTTAATCCTTGCATCGCAGTTTCCCCTGCAAAATGGAATAATGATACTTCCTTTATAGTTATTGTGAGGATTAAATGAGGTTCTACATGTGATGCACTTTAAATAGTGTCAGGCACTTGGAAAGCTTAAATCAGTTTCTAGAATTATAGGTATGCATAATCAACATTATTTCATTAGCTGGATGACTAAATGAAATAGGGGGATTTCAAATTAAAAGCTGTTTGAGAGAGAGTGGAAAAGGTATGGTCTAGTATTCTCATACTGGATTCTAGTCCTGGTTCCCATTACTAAACAAGCTGTGTGGTGTTGACTATGGCAGCCTCTCTGGATCTTACTTTCTTCAGCTGCAAAAAGGAAACCAAACAAAAATCACTAAGCTCTCTTTCAGTTCAAATTAGGCACATGGATATCTGACCCCTCCAAATCAAATCAACCAAAACAGAACTCAATTTCTCCTCTAAAAGAACTTTCCCTGCCTCTGTAAATGATGCTGCCATTTACCCAGTTTAAGTAAAACATCTCTGAGTTGCCTTTGGATTATTTATTTCTTTCACCACCATCTAAATCTAATCCATCTAAACATCCTATTAGTTCTACTTTCAAAATATATCCTGAATCCATCTACTTCTCCCCCATCACCACTGATAGAACCCTAGTCCAATAATCTCTTGTCTGCCCTGTTGCCATGGTTCCTAATCCATCTTTCTATCTGCACTCTTAGTCTCTTTCAGCCTGTTTTGCACAGAGCCAAAGTGATATAAAACATCAACCAGATAATATCATTCTCCTGCTCAAAACTCGCAGTGGGTTTTCATCACACTTAGACTAAGATCCAAACACTTTTACCCCCTCATATCACTCTCTCCCTTATGCTTCAGCTGCACAGCCCTTTTGTTTTCTTGCCAGTCCACCACACTTATGTTTGCCTTGGTCCTTTGCATCTGCTATTCTTTGTGGTTGGAATATTCATTCCCCAGATGTCAGCAGGACTTGCTTCTTGTCATTTTGATCGCAGCTCTAATTGCACCCTCCCTTCTCCCAGTAGTGCTCCATCGCACTGCCCTATTTTATTTTTTTTCCTAAGACTTACCACTATCTAAAAGATAGCTCATGTATGTATGTCTCTCCACCCCCACCCTGCCCCAAGTAGAAATTAAATGTTTTCATAGGGCCTGATTCCTACCACAGTGCCTGGCACATAGTTGGCACACAGAAGAAAAAAAGAATCTGACTGAATACACTAAAGACTAAGTATAAACTGATTTTTAATGAGATATGAAAGTTTATATTAATTACATGAGCCAAGTATTGTGTTTTTAAAGTTCGAGGTCCTGTTGGTTTTTCCTTCATTTAATCCTTCATACTGAATGAACATGATTGAGCACATATGCTTGTGTCAGATATATGATTGTAAATAAAACAATAGTAATACATTTACAGGTTGGTTTTTTCCCTTCTTGACCTGAATAGTTCCCAGATTTACCACTCTTTCCAACTCCTTTCCTACAGTACCACCTTGCTGGAAATTCCCATCTTTCTGGTCTCTGTCTTCTTCTGTCGGTTCTAATCTCTCAGTAACGTATTCTCCGGAATGCAGCCAGAGACCTTTTCAGTCGCTATTATACCCATGCTGAAAAACCTTCTGAGTTTTTATTGTTCTCAGGATAAAGGTCCACCACCTCACGTCCTGCTAGCTCACTGTCCACTCCAGGCCATACTCACTCCCTCCCTTCCTGGTTCCCCCCAGCCACAGGGCTGGTAGTCCTCTTTTCCCAGGGAGTTATACACCACATCCTTTTGGCCTGCTTTTCAGGATCTCAAGAAATGGACCCTTCCTCAGAGAAGGCCTCTCAGGTTAAGACCAACTCCTCTCCTCACCATATAACACAAAGTCGCAAAGTGCTTCTTTTTCAGAGCTGTAACTTTATAAACATATACTCCTGAATATGGCAACCTTATTAATATGTGTTAAAGCAAGTTTGCGCTCAAAGCTATTTGCGGAAGAAACATATTGACTGCCTTCCCAACCACTCCTCGCCCCTCCCCCTAGGCCTGCGGCGCAGCTGTTACGCTTTCAGCCGGCGCCAGGAACAGATATTGCAGAGCGCTTGCGCGGAGGGGCACGCATGCGCAGAGGGACGAACCCGCTGACAGATCCTCGGTGGCGGTGGCGGCGGCCGCGGCCCTGGACTGCGGGGAATGGGAATCCTAGGTCTCTGACTGAGCACCGCCCCCGCCTCCGTGCCCGCGACATGGCCCAGGAGAAGATGGAGCTAGACCTGGAGCTCCCTCCGGGCACAGGTGGAAGCCCGGCGGAAGGCAGCAGCAGTGGCGGCGGCGGGGGCCTCAGGAGATCTAACAGCGCCCCCCTGATCCACGGCCTCAGTGACACTTCTCCGGTGTTCCAGGCCGAGGCGCCGAGCGCCAGGCGGAACAGCACAACGTTCCCGAACCGCCACGGCCTGCTTCTGCCGGCCTCCCCCGTCCGCATGCACAGCAGCCGCTTGCACCAGATCAAACAGGAGGAGGGCATGGACTTGATCAATCGAGAGACTGTCCACGAGCGCGAGGTGCAGAACGCAATGCAGATAAGCCACTCCTGGGAGGAAAGTTTCAGCCTGAGCGACAACGACGTGGAGAAATCTGCCTCCCCGAAACGCATCGATTTCATTCCGGTGTCGCCAGCACCGTCGCCTACCCGGGGAATTGGAAAGCAGTGTTTTTCACCATCCTTGCAAAGTTTTGTGAGTAGCAATGGATTGCCTCCAAGTCCTATTCCCAGCCCAACGACCCGATTTACTACCCGGAGAAGCCAGAGTCCCATTAATTGCATTAGACCAAGTGTTCTTGGACCATTGAAAAGAAAATGTGAAATGGAAACTGAATATCAGCCAAAGAGATTTTTCCAAGGCATCACCAACATGCTTTCTTCTGACGTTGCGCAGCTGTCAGATCCGGGTGTGTGTGTATCTTCCGATACCCTTGATGGAAACAGCAGCAGCGCCGGATCTTCTTGTAACTCACCAGCGAAAGTCAGCACTACCACTGACTCTCCTGTGTCGCCTGCCCAAGCGGCCTCTCCGTTTATTCCAGTAGATGAACTTTCATCTAAGTGATTCACCCACCCATCCTGAGACTCGGTTTTGTTTTTGCAATGGAGAGGAAAATCAAGTTGGAACAAGCACTGAACTTTGTCGATTAATTTGAGGCTGTTTCCTATTTGACCCTTTTCCTTTTTTGGAATTTCCTGAAATGTTGTTATTCTAGAGAACTTTTATGTCAGATTCTTGGGGATGCCCGTGAATTCAGTGTAGTAATATTTTCAGACGTTTTCCCAATAAGTGTGTTGAAGCATACATCTTTACGCTGCTAATATGTCTAAATACATATGTTATCCCTTGATTTTTTAAAAAACTGAGAGCTCTATTTATTTATGGGATTATTAAGTTCTGATGCAAATATAAATGTTGAATTAATCAGCATAGTAAACTGATGTTTTAAAATTCCATACTTCATGCCCACACTAATTTTTAAAGTTATTGTCAGTGATTGCTAACTTCTATTTGATGAAGAACAATAACTTACCTATGTACAGCTATTTTTAAAGTGTTAGTTTTATCCACCTGGTGGTTGTCAGTTTTGCCCAGGAGTCCTTGAATATTTAATTTTCTGGGTATAGAAGTGGATGGGGGGAAAGCTGATAAAAGAGCAAAAAATGAAAGTTTGCAACAGATCTTTTAAGTATACAAAAGTAAACATTTAAACATTTTCTAATGAAATTTTAATAGTAATTTAATATGTCATACAAATATAACTACTATACAGAATTTCTTCTTCTTCTTTTTTAACCAGATAGTGCATTCCTGTGGATGTATTCCTGAAGTTAAATGGGACAGTGCCTTGCAGTCTTAGCCCACTGTACATAGGCTGAGGCCAGGTTCTTTGTACCACTACAGACTTTATCAATTGTAGAAAATGTGTGGGAAGCCCTGGTGAACTTGAGCAGAGCACCTAGGCAGATGAAACTCTGTCAGTCATTGATATGCTATAATAAGATATTCAGTCGTGCCTCAGTGAAAATTCTTGCCAGCAAGGAGCTCAAGAAACTTTTGGCTGCTTTTCCACTTTGTCCATCTGTCACCTTCTTGGTTTTCCCTGGCTCAGGAAGGAAGCAGCTGTTTCCTTGCCAACAGGTCCTTCCTTTCCACCTCCCAAGAAACTAGGGCATCATCAGTTAGACAAAGGTACAGTGTGACTCAGATTTCTCACAGTAAGCAACAAGAGGACTGTGGAATTGTTTCAGGAACCTCTGTGGTTAAAGCTACAGCTGGAGTTGACTGCCTGGGGGATGTCAGTTAATGACTTGTCAGAGAAAATCAGGGGAGAGTCACCTAGGTAAATCATTATTTAATTTAGGTTTTAGTAAAGGTAGAATTATGAAATGTTCTTTTCTTTGCCTTTTACAAGTAAGACAAAGTATGAAAATATTTAACGACAGTTTTTTTTATATGATACTTTCTTATTTCCTGTATCTTCCTTAACTAGATACCTAGGTAGATAGAAAGAAGGGCAAACAAAAGGGAAAGGGGAAAAAAATAAGAGAGACCAAGAAACCAAGAGAAAAATCTCCGGCTCACTTTAAGTTATTGCCTACAGAGACGTTACAGTTATATGGAATTTTTACAACTATGAGAATAAATGGAACCGGTCAACTCAAGAATTCAGTGAATTACAGCGAGGGTAAGATTGTGTGCACAGGCTTAAAGTTCTCTCTTCTGGGTAATAGTGTTAATATGCTCCAGTTCTGACCTTGTTGCTCAAATTCACATGTATATATCCAACTTCCTGTTGTGCGCTTTGACCTACTCCCAGAGGTTCTTTAACCTCAGCATCTCCAGAGCAAAATTTATTACCTTTTCTTTTAACCTGTCCTTGGATGATCTAAAATTATGTCATCCTATCTAATTTCCTAAACTCAAAACGGTGGGTAGCATCTTTGACTTTCCCTCTTCTGGTGCTGCCACATCCAGCTCAATCACCATGTCCTATCGGCTTGCAAACTGAGTCTCCCTTTCTCTGTCGCCCCTGAATTTAGCTTAAGTCCTGGTCTAAGTGATCTCCGAGCCTATTTTCTTACCTCCCTTTTGATCCAGGCTTCGTACTGCCTCTGAAGTGATCTTTCTAAAATACTTGATTTTGTCATCCTCCTGCTTAAAAACTTTATATGCTTCACCGTTTTGTACATTTTAGTGAATGCTTTCTTCAGCTTGACATAGAAGGTCCTTCATGAACTGCCTATATGCTAACACAGTATAGGCATCCTCTGCTCATCCTGTCCCAATTACATGTCCTTCCTTCTTTGTAAACCCTAGACCAGTAGGTAATCTTTAAATATGCCTTGTACTTTCATGTGTTTGTACCTTTGATTAAATAGTTTCTTTCCCTAAAATGCCATTCCTGTCCTTTCACCCTGGAAAATGTTGTTTCTTTTTATTGCATTTGAATTTAACTATGAAATAATGTATACTTTCTACTTATAAAAATATTTAAACAATGCAGGTATCTACATAGTAAAAAGTGAAAGTCTGTGTTTACTATGGAAAATTCATCTTCTTTTCCTATAGGTAATTTCTGTTAATAATTCAGTTTATATTGTACAAGATATTACTGTGCATTCCATGTATATAGGTATATAAATTTCAGAAAACCAACATCTCACTGACATCTCTTTTCTTTCCCTCATATCTAATCATTCACCAAATCTTACTGATCTTTTCATCTCAGCTGCCACCCAGATCTAGCCTACCATCATGTCCCACTTAGGCCTCCTGATTCCCACTTGTCCCTTCACACTCTGTTTGGGTACCTGTTCATCTTTCATGCATCAACCAGAGTAATCCTTTTAAAGTTGCAGATCAGATCCTTACATCTCTCAGCTTAAAGCTTTTCATTTGCTTCCTGTTGTTCTTGTTGTATACCAAAGGTATTCATTCCAACTTAGGAGGCCCTGTGCAATCTGGCCCTTGCCTCTCCCTCCCCTTGTTTTCTGCATTCTACCCTTACTGGCTTGCTTCTCATGCAGTACATCTTGTTCTCTCCTGTCTTACCACCTTTTACCAGATCCTCTTCCCTGAAGGTATAGAGAAACTTTTATTTCTATAAGTGTTTTTCTGTATCGGTGGTAAGTTTTAAATCCAATAAGCCTCTAAGTTTTTATAGACAATTTACATTATTGTTCATAACTTCAGTCATTACTCTGTGGAATGTAAGGGGCTAGCTAATGTAAGAATTATCCTTCAAAAAACATTTTTAAGGTATTAGTATTGCTACTCTATAAACTTGGTGCTAGAAGCCCCAAAGCACATATCAGCATTGATTTAAAGTGCAGTTCATCATAGGTAACAAACTTCTGTTGTATATTTTCCTGTCATGTTTGTTAAAAACAGCAGTGTAAGTGGAAAAAATAATTAGTAGTCACCAAATCTGCGACTGCAGGATGTCAGAACCTTTAAGCATACTGAAAAGATTAATTACAATCAAGAATAATCGGTATGGGGTTGCCTTCCAGTGGTTCTCATTTATCCGTTCAGCTGGCTACATACCTACAACAAGAGACCTCTCTTAGATATTTGGCATATAATGGGGAAAGGGTCAAGGCTTATGAGGGAAACGGGACTGAGAATTGTTTTCTTATTGGCATGTTTTTAGGTCAGTAGGAAAAGTCTGAAGGTCCAAGAGAGAAGTGGGATCCTGGGGGTGGCCGTGGTGGGGAGGGAATAGTTGCCAAAGCAACAAACCAAAGATGGTGATGTAATTGACATTTCCTGAGTAGCATCAGAGAATAGAAGAAAGAGTTGGTCTTGGAAAGCACTTTTTTTTTTTCTCCTTTTGCAATAGGAAGGAGAGTGAAAAGGCTAGACAACAATAGCAGTAAATGTTGATTCATGTTGCAGGAGTTTAGAGGTATGGAGGAAGACATCTGAAAATTGAAGGAATTTCTGATTGCTTCTATTTTCCAATTTTTAAGGAGTGTAGGCTATTTAAGGGTAGGGCAGGAGTACCTTTGGAAGCTTAAGTGAAGTAAAGGTTTAGCGCTGCCTCTGTGAGAACCTGTAAAGGAGTGACAAGGGTGAGTAGGAGTTTTGTTAGGCCACATTAGATGGCAGGTGCAAAAGAAGTAGATTGGATTAACCTAGGTTTGGGAGTTGGTTACGCAGGTACTTGGTAAAGCCCAGTGTGTGAAGCAATTAAGGGTTTTGCTGAAAGTGGAGTTGAGTGATTGGCCAAGATCTTGAAGATGTTACAAGAAGTCAGCAGTGGGTCATGGACTAGGCTGTTTCTTCAAGATCTTACATTCCATTTGACCATGACAAAATACACGGAGAGTCTGATCTCACTGCAGAACTCAGTTTATCAGTTTTGCCCATGTTTTTTCATGTTCATGTTATTCAGAGAATCAAGCCTAAATCAGCAAGCCTTGAATTCCATTTAGATGATTAAAAAAACACACACACACACAAAAACTTTTTGAGTCAGATTGCTCACTGTAGCCAAGGCAGTTCTTTATGCCTTCCCTACCTTGCCATCCAACTAAAAAAGTTTTCTTAAAAGTTAATATGACCTTTATATTCAAATGTCTATTAGAGAGTACTTAACTGTGTGTCAGGCTCTGTTCTAGCTGCTAAACAAATGTATTATTTAATCTTCATCACTGTCCTCTGAGTAAATTAGTGCCATTATTATTCTCATTTTATTAGTGAAGAAATGGAGTCACAGAGAGATTAGGTAACCTGCTCAGGGTTCTGAAGTAGGAGGCAGGCAACATACTGTAGTGGTTAAAAACAGGCTGTGGAGCTGGGTGGCTGAGGTAAGGATTAAGTGGGTCACTATATGTCAAGTTCTTACAGCAATGCTGGCAATTTCTGTAAAAGTATCAGCTATCATTACTATCCTTGTGGGGATGGTGGTTGCCATTATATTATTGTTGTCATCTAGTGTGGACTTGCTGAGGAATCTTTTATCATCCTTGACTGGTGAGGCTCCTCCTTTCACACTAACAACGTACCCTTTACCCCTCTAGGCAGCCTGTCCTTTTATAAGATGAGTGTTTTCAACA